GCAGAGACCCGTGCCAGAGTGAGAACCAGGCCTCAGACGAGCCAGCCTGCACCTGGCTCCACGCAGCCAGCAGGTGGCGCTGCTGCTCCCCACACGCGGTCTGGGACCGTTGGACTGCTGTCTGGGTGCCTGCTCCCAACACCCTCTTTTCTTCACCGGCCCTTGGTGGATGCAGAATATCTTTGGTGCCTGTTGGCTGCGGTAAACAGTTACCCGCTGAGCCAGGGCCCAGGTGGATGCTGGTTCTGACAGCCCCCCGTGGCTAATTGCTGCATCAGGCTTCACGCCCGACACTGGTACAGTGCAATCGCCAATAACCTTCCAGTTCTTAAAAACACAGCAGGGTGTCTGTCCAGTCCCGCAATATTTCTCTCTCCATTTAAAAAGTTTTTCTGAGCTGCTGCTCTGAATGTGAATTGTGCAATAAGCATTGTGTTCAGTGAGTCTGACTTGGGACACAGCCGTGTGCCCCCCGCACCCAGTGGCACTTTCAGGCAGACTCTGCTCGAAGTGGACGGTACAGGAGGCACTCTCACCGCAATAAACCTTTCCTGAAAGCTGGGGACAGTGTTTCAATGCATTGTATGTTCATGATTAGGAGCAAACAAAAGGGATTGCCCCCCCCAAAGGCCTCATCCCATCCTCATTCTTCACTGTTTAAACCACATTTTAAACCATGATGCTTAACTCGAAGCTGCGGTTCAGTTTTCTACATTAGACAAGTACCTAAGAGAGTCCAGAATTAGGAAATCTCTTAGACTAGTTATTTGGGTTTTTTGTTTTTTTTTTTAACTAAAATCCCTTTCTTGTAGTCAAAGGCGGTCACACCCTGCCTGCTCTCCAACAGGAACCCGAAGTTGGTCTTCTCAGCGGCAACAGAGCATGCGGGAGAGAACCTCGAATCCGTGCTTGTCTTTCAGTAAGGGAAGGGAACCGGTGCAGGAAGACGCTTTATTATGTCGTTCCCTCCAACCGGGCCAGGAAAGGGGGCCGGTCTCGGCCACTTAGAGAGTCGGCTGTCCAGGCGAGGGAGGGGACCATGCCCTCTGCCTGCGTCAGCCCTCGTCCCCACCGTGGGGGTGACCCAATGCACAAGCCCGTCCCTGGACACAGCTGCCCCACGAGGAAATGTGCTTCTTCCTCACTGGCTCGGGACAGCTCATGCCGTGCTCCAAGGACACGCACCTAACTTGTGCTGAAAGACAGCTGGGGCTGTCACCTCCCTGACAACCAAGTTCGTCATGCTCACAGCCCTGCCCACTCCCAGCTCGAGGCCACCTGAGGCTGAGCTGGGCTCCTCACCGGGGCTGGGCCTGGCACACCTCGCTGCCCCTCCGTCTGCAGCAGGAGTCACGCCCCACCTCCTGAGGGCTCCAACAAGCCGGCCACCCGGCTCAGCTCTGTGGCTCCGGCCGCGGCCCGGCCCTGGAGGCCTGCAGGCGGCCACACACCCTCCGCATCGCCAGCCTCTGCGCCTTCAAGCGCTTCCGGAGCTTTTCATTCTCCTTCAGGGTCAGGAAGAGTTTTTTTTTTAGGGTGTCCAAGTCCAAAAGGGCATAGCTGTGATCTGACGGCTGTGGGGGGCTGGCTGGCCGGCCAGGGGCCTCGGTGGCTTCTGGTCTGTGTGGCAGGACCTGAGGACAGGTGAGTGGGAGGTGAGCAGGGACCCGTGGCAGAGCTGTTCTCCAGCAGGAAGGAGCGGGTGGAGGGGACCCAAAGGGTACTTCCCGCAGCTCTCCTGCCACCCAAACCCGCCCGAATCGCAGCTGTGCTATTGGGAAGGTCTGAAACCAGGGCCACGCCCATAGGACCCGTGGTCCGGGCACCAGTTTTCCTTATTTTGTTTGAAGCGAATCCCCTTGTGCTGAGACCAACCCACCACGTGGCCCCGTGGGCCGGGCCCGGCGCCTTACCTGTCCTACAGGACGTCCAGAGCTGGGGGGCAGCTGCAGGGCTTCGAGTGCTGTGTCCATCTTTCTCTCCGGGCCGTGTTCCCCGGCCCCCACCCTGGGGAGAACCTGGGAACGCAGTGTAGAGCAGGCAGCTGAGCCGCGAAGATACTGGACCCTCCACAGCTGTCACCTGTCCGTCCTACCAGCAACCCCTCACACTGTCCCAGAGTGGCTGCACCCTGGAGACCACCAAGGACAGTCGGCCTCCTCCCCAGGCCCAGGGCCAGACCCTAAGAAATCAGGCAGACTAGGCGCACTGCAGACTGTATGCAATGCAGACTCACCTTTTCCTTCTCAGAGTCGGCGTTCCCGCCCTCGCTGGCCGGGTCTGCGTCTGCCCTCACCAGCTGTAAGAGACGGAGCTGCTGTGGACCCCGAGGTTCGGCTCACTCAGGGTGTGAGTAAGATTGGTACCCTGCGAGCCCCGCCCCCACGCTCGGCCTCACGTCCTCCTGAAACCCAGCCGGCTGGACTCCCCACCCTCTGGTGATCTTTCTCCAACGAAGTTCCCAAATCTTGAGCCAGAGGTCCATGAACAACAGGTCCCTATGAAGCTAGGGATTTGTCTAATTTGTGTCATCCTGGGGCCTGGTGTGTAGTAGGTGACTCAAATTTTGCTCAATGAGTGGCAGCCACATGGTAGAAAACATGCGACTCAGAGCCTGAGTCCCCAGGTGTCCTCAAGCTGAGCCAGGGCCATCAGGGCTGGAACGAAGGAAATCACAAACGTCCACCCCCCCAACCCCCCGGCTCCTACACTGTCACCTCTAACTTCTGAGACAAAGTGACCGGTGAGCGAACTGCATTCTATTAACATGCAGTGGGCAGAAAGTCTCAAGCTAAACCATGACCTTCGAGGGCCCTGTGCAGCCTCACACCTGCAGCTCACACCTCACCTGCACTCAAACGTCTGAGGGCCGGCCTCACTCACGTTAAGTGTTCTCAGCACAGCAAAATACAACGTTGTGTGTATAAAATAAAAATAAAAGGCCTCCATAAAAACGAACAAACAAAAACGCGCACTTCACACCTGGTGACACTCTGGGTGTTGGGAATACAGCAGGGAAACGAGGCCCCGCCCTCAGAGCGCCCCCTGGAGGGGAGATCAAACACAAAGGAAATGGTGGGGACGGTGAAAGATGCCAGGAAGCCCAGGGAGCAGAAGGGGAGGAGGGGCCCCCCTGCAGAACCCTGAGGGCAGAGCGCTGGGCATGTCTGCCGACAGTGGGCACCCGTTATCCCCACACCCTGTAGCTCGGTTCCGATCAGCTCCCTTTCCTCTCCTCATTCCCAAGAAAATCGAACTAGCGTAGGTGCCCATCAGCCTTGTGTTGGCTCCACCACGACCTGGCCTTCTGGGTTCAAACGGATGCCCTGCCGTGGGGCCCACACTCACGCTCCGTACGCCTCGGATTTGTGACCTTCAATAAATCCCCTCATGGCTCCAACGTCCCTCTGTTCCTGAGCTCTCGCCAAACCCACACATCCCGCCCCAAGACACGCCCACTCCACGGCCCACGGGGACATCAAACTACACACCCAGGACCCATCTCCTGGGACTCAGAAGCGCCCATTCCCCAGGGGCTGAGCGAGCTCCGCTTTCCCTGGCCCCGTCCCTCAGCCCACCAGGTCCGCAGAGCCCATCCACTCTGTCCTCACCACCCAGCCACCTTCAGCTCAAGCCACCAGGACTGCACTCACTTGTGACACTACAGTGGCCTCCAAACCAGCTTCCAGCCAGAGGAGCCTCCCAAAGCCACGTCCCTCCCCAGCAACCCCACCGCAGACCTGCAGCCTGTGCAAGCCTGCCACCGTCTGGCCCCTGCCACCCTCCGACCAGCCCGTGCCTACGCCAATCCAGAGTGTACCCAAACCCCTCCACCCCAAGCCTCCGCCCATGCCCAGGACCGAGCTCTCATCTGGCATGCATGGCACACAGTAGGACCGTAAGGGAGATCTGCAGACAGCGATGGCACAGGCTCTGCCGTCTTGACCACAGGGTCCCACGCCCAGCTGGCTACAAGGGAGGAGGGGACGAGGCACGAGCACACACAGCCTCTGCCCTCCCCGGGGACCAGGCTCGCCACTCCGACAGCTTCCGGTCATGCAGCCCATTCGTTTCTAAAGCGGCTCCAAGTTGCAAATTCCCTCAAACGAAGGTCATGGCCAGCAGGGTGGGCTGGGCTCCGACCCCCCACACTGGACAGTGCTGCCCTCACTGTGGTGCCGGGCTCCACCTCTGCCATCCTGGCGAAGGCCACCTCCGCGCCCTCCTGTTCGGTGGGTCCCTGTGGCCAGATCTGAAGAGAGAGGGGACAGGTGTGCTCACCTGCGTGGCGTCCTGAAAGGCAAACAGCGTGGGCACAGCATTGTGCTTCAGGTTCTTGCGGTTCCCGAAGGCGCTGAAGCACTCGGGCCGGAAGTGCTCGGAGCAGATGACTGTGTGCTGCTTGGGCTTGAAGTTGGCCCGGCCCATGTTCAGCACCCACTCCTTCAGCAGCTCCGGCCGGCTGAACGGGAACCTGGGGGGCACAGCAGGAGGCGGGGGGGAGGGAATGACACGGAGCTCAGCACCTCTGAGTATCCTGGGACTTCACACCACCCCACCCCACACCCCACACACCCCATGCTCCTGGACAACATGGGACATCCAGCAACCTCGCTCTGCTCGGCCACGTCCAGTTTCCGGAGGCTTCTGCCATGGCTGTTCACGGCATCCTCAGCAAGAAACTGGAGACCATGATCATGGCCAGAGACCTGTTCCCGACGCTACGTCTGCCTGGTGAACTTTCACCTATTCCCTCGGGAGCCTGCTGGGGGGCCCTGCTCTGGGGGCCCTGCTGCAGGGGGGAGGACCTGCTCTGGGCCTTGGGGAGGGGAAGTCAGAGGCCCGCGCCCATGGAGCCGGCTGTCTAGAAACGGGGACACGGATGGTAAACCAACCAGATGCGGACTGTGTGGGAGCGAAAGCAGCAGTGCTGGGGAGACCGCGCAGGAGGCTGCAGGAAGTGGGAGCACGGCCCACGTGGGGACCAGAAGGAAGAACGGGAGCAAAGACCCTGCGACAGGCGTGTTTGAGGAGCGGTCAGAGGCAGGTTTGGCTGAGACAGAGCAAGAGGAGCAGTGGGGACCGAAGGACACGGGCCTCAAGCAGACGGCAGGCTGGGAGGCTCTGGGCGGAGGGTGACAATCGGAGCGAACATGGTGGCTGGGACCAGGGTGTCAGCAGAAGAAGGTACTAAGCGGGCAGATCTGGACGTATTTCGAAAGCTCTGCCGTAAGGTTTGCCTGTGGGCAGTGAAGCAGAGAAGGCGGGAGTGTGGTATATTAAGACGGGGGAGGCTTGTCTACGGCCATGCCACCCTGAACACGCCCGATCCCGTCTGATCTCGGAAGCTAAGCAGGGTCAGGCCCGGTTAGTACTTGGATGGGAGACCACCTAGGAAGACCAGGTGCTGTAGGCATTTAAAATAATAATAATAAGATGGGGAAGGCTGGAGGAGGGGCAGGTTTGGGCCTCAGATGTTTGGCTTTATACGTCAGATGTTAAATCTGAGGTGCGTTTCAGAAGGCCACATGCTGGAGTGGAGTGGCAGGGGGACACAGG